GATAGGAGAGGTTGGAAACTTCCCCTTTCCTCTTTGTTAGCCTTTAATTTATATTTGGACACGCTGAATATCTGTCATTTTGGTGGAGTGAGTACTTTGAATTGATCTGTTGCTCTTTGCATTCATTCAGCTTCGGGGGGAGGGATATGTGTCTCTCCTGTGGGGTAAGATTTTTTGTTTGTTTTCAACCTTAATCTTTTATCTGCCTGCATATATACAGTCATCTCACTAGTTCTTTGTTTTGTCTACTAATGAGTAAGCCAGTAAGTAGACCAAGACTCAGTCTGGTTATCTGACACAAGCACGCACTCCTCTTGAAAAATTATTCTTTGCTGAGTTTCTTAGGGCATTCTGTTACATAGTACTTCATAAAAATATTTTAAGTTGTTTTCTCATGATGGTGGAAAACTAAGTTTATAACTTTTGCTTCCTTCTGGTGGTGGTCTTCTCTTCCAATCCATGACAAATTTGCCTTATTTGGTACTGTTGTAGATAGTTATGATTTTGGCTGTGTTGCAGCCTATATTCATTCAACTTTGGGACAGGTGTGTGTAAATGGATTTTTTAGCTTCTTTTCTTTTTAAAAATCTGCCTAGGTAGAAAACTAGTTTTCCTTCCTCTTTTGCTGACTTTTTTGTGCAAAAGTAAACTGGACACTCAAACCATCTGTTTGTTTCATGTGCCTCTTTGGCAATAATTTTTTTGTGCTTTTTTTCATGTCTCAGGGCAGTTTGTTAAATACATGCTTTCAGATTGCTTTAGTTGTGACAGCAGAAAAAGCATAATTTAATGTGCAAGCCTTCCCAAACAGTTGCTGGCCCTGGGTAAAAACTGTAAGTGGAGCCCCCTGCAATATATTTTAGATTTATTCATTTTAGTTTTGTATATTTAAAAAATTCCATTGTGTGATTATTGCTAATATAAAGGAACACTTCAGATATTTATGCTGAGCCTTACTGGAATTTCTCAAAGGCCTCTGCTAAACAGCACCCCTCTTTCTTTCTGGGTTTGAACCTAGTAGGAAAAAAAAGAGTGGCAGAAACATAACCTTCATTAAGCCAATATAGGCTAGGTTGGTGGGTGTGAGTTTAGGTTGTTGGCCTGGTGAATTTGCTAATACTAAGCCCCAGAATTAATCAAACTTACTACCTGAGGTAGTAATTGAGGAAAATTGAAGAAAGTTACTGCTGTACATCTTCCACCTTCCATCCTGTAGGAGAAGGCTTACTGACTCCAAAGAAAAAGGACAGAGCAAGGTGTTGACATTCTCACAGGGGAAGAACTTCCAGGAAGAATAAAACAATACGCTGGAGCCTGGATCATTCTCCTTTTCAAATTAGCCAACCAGATCAATAATTCCAGCTCCTCAGTGACAATGTGAGTTAAAAGGATAGAAAGAGGCCACGAGTATATACTCAATCCTTTCTCACAAAATACTAGAATAGAGAAAGTGTTCCCCTGTAACATTTCCATGATCTTTGTTCACTAACAACTTGCTTTTGAAAGAAATTTATCTGGATGATTATTTTTCCTTTTTCATAAGGTCATCCCTCCTTTTTTATATATTCTCTTTGGACTGTGGAAGAACTGTAGATGTTAACCCTAAAATATTCTACTTTGGCATAGAACAGAAAATTAACTCAAATCTAATGCCACTCTATATCTGAGGCAGAAATTTCATTCTCTATTATACTTCCCATTCCAATTTATGTCTAGATATTTGGTAGAGCCTCTGATATACTCTATTGAACAAAGGTATTTGGCAACAGCAAATACTTAAGGTGCATAAAGATGTTTCAGTAGTGAAATGCCATACATCTGAATTTTCAGGAAGCATTATGGTTGAAAGATTTAAAACTCTTCACAAATTAAAAACCAAGGACTGAAAGATTAAAAAGTCCAAAGTAAATTTTCTTGTACTTTTGAATTAAGAAGTCTGAAGGCCCAATTTCTTAAGTTAAAGCTGCAGATGTCCATCCCCAGCATCGTATTCTGTTCAGGTGCAGTCAGATTCCTAGATGGAGTTGGGGTTCTTTCAGCAGCTGTAGGTTGAGCTGACTTCCAGAGAAAGGAAGCAAGCACTACTACTAGGTTCTTAAAAGGTATATTAATTCAATGCCAAAGTTCTGGTATATATCGTCTTTTAAAGTATTCGAACACTTAACAGGACATACATATTTAGCACATTACTGGACCTGTTTCAATTTAGAAAAATGGCCAATGTTTGACCTCTGGTGCAGTAGTTTCGGAAAAAATGTTTTTATTACTTACTACTTATCATTACTGAAGATTGGTTCATCAGAGTGCAAGTGGTATGCAGGGGCAGAGAGAAGCCAGAGACGATCTCTTAAGACTTTCCAGAAGACAAGTAAATAAATGTCTGTCAGTTATCCAGAATTTGACTTGCTTAACTTCTGTTGAAATGGAGAAAATCTTGCAGCAAGAAGTTAATTTTTGTACTGCATTTGGGGGAAATTTTCTATAATTATGCTACTCTCTGACATTGCTGTGCTGAGAAGCTGCCCCAGCTACCAGCTCTTTTTTGAGGTATTTTTCCCCCGTTCAGTACATTCAAAACTCTCAACTTTTATTTCTTCCTTGAATTCCACATTTTTGGCACTCCAGTGTAGAATTAAGTGTGGACTTTAGGGTTTGAATTGTGTTCCCACAAAAAATCCCCATTATCTCAGAATGTAACCTTTTCTGGAAGGAGGAACTTTTGTATTTAGCCAAGTTAAGATGAGGTCATTAGGATGAGCCTTAATCCAATATGTCCTTATAGAAAGGAGAAACTTTATCTGGACAATAACTACTTGTATACCTAATCCTGAATTGTACCCCACATCTTTAAAATTTAAAAAAAAATTTAAAGGAAAGGAGAAATCTGGACACAGATATGCATAGAGAGAAGAAAATGTGAAGAGTTAAAAGGGAGAACACCATGTGACAAAGGAAGCAGGGACTGGAGTTATGCCGCCATGAGCCACAGGATGTGTCAGCTGCTACCAGAAACTGGAAGAGGCAGGAAGGATCCTTCCCCTATCCTGCTGGCACCTTGATTTCAAACTTCTAGTTTCCAGTACTGAGATAATAAATTTCTACTGTTTCTAAGCCATCCAGTTTGTGGTACTTTAAGGCAGCCCTGGGAAATGTGACATAGAGTACACACCTACCTGTGAACCAGCATGTTCTTTGTTATGTTACAGAGGCAGTTTCCAGAATTCTACCTCTTGTTAGAGTTCTCAGATTTGTGAAACTGTCTTTCAGGGGGAGTCTCCTCCTTCAATCCATATTTGTTTTGGCTGGATACTCTTCCCCAGTAGATTCCTGAATGGAAGCTGCTTTTGTAGCTTCTGAAGTTTATTTCCTTAGTACTCGGAAGTGGGGTGAAGATGATTTCTGAACCCCTAGACAAATCAACATGAATTCAGAGTTATTTTGTCCACAGTTCTATACAGGGTTTTGACAAACTAGTAAGGTTTTAAATAGGCAGTATTAATATGTTTCAAACCTCAAAATTCTGGAGTCAAGTGATCCTCTTGTTTCAGCCTCCTGAGTGGTTAGGACTACAGGCAGGTGCCACCATGCCTAACTATTTTTAAAAATTTTTTAGCAATGTGGTCTTGTTACATATTTTAGAACATTTCTATAATTATCAAAATGAGATGGTAAAAATAGCATTAGACAGTATTATAAATTAATAATACTATCAGGTACACAGTTGCTTTGGTGCTTTGCTTCAAAAAGAACAGTCAAAATACTTGCACATAATCTAAAAAATGAAAGAGACAGCTAGACTCGGTTACTCAGCCTGTAATCGCAGCACTTTGGGAGGCCGAGGCAAGTGGATTGCCTGAGCCCAGGGGTTCGAGACCAACCTGGGCAACTTGGCGAGACCTTGTCTCTACAATAAATTTTAAAAATTAGCTGGACATGGTAGCATGCACCTGTAGTTCCAGCTACTTAGAAGACTGAGGCAGAAGTGTCACGTGAGCCCAGCAAGTTGACACTGGAGTGGCTGTGAGTGTGCCACTGCACTACAGCCTGGGCGACAGAGTGAGAGTCCAACTCAAAAAAAAAAAAAAAAAATAGACATATAGAGTTTTGAGGATAACTACTATAATTATTTACATATTTTTTAATTCCTTAGGTGTTCATGACAGGGAAAAGCAAATGTTCTTTGTCTTTCTTCTTGTCAGAAACACTAGATGGGATTATTTGAAGTAACTTCATCAATTTTGTCTTGTTTTAATGAATATGGAATTTCTTTTTTGAACCTAGGATGTGCTTTCTGTTTAAAAGTCATATTGCAATATACTAATTTGCTTTTGCTTGCATCCCATGGCCTTAAGGACCCCAAATTACTTTGGGAAAGTGATATCCTTCCCTTGATTTAGGCACTCAACCAGAAACTGGGGGTTCTCTCTTGAACATCCTCCTGGACATATGAAATGTACTTAGGTTTTCTTTTCCTTACTCTTTTCCCTGCATATTTTGATCCTGTTTTGTTGTTGTTAATGTATTTGCATATTCTTCTTATCTTGACTATTTTATTAATAACCTCAATTTTACTTAGATCTCAATTCAAGAGTATTTTCCTTCTTGCTCCCAAGGGTAGAACAAGTGTAGCAGGGAATCACTGGTGAGGGAGGTCCGGGTTTCTCTTCACTAACTAGTTTTGTGACCTTCTGGCAGGACTTTTGACTTAATTTAAGTAATCTCTAAAAAGAGGAGGCTTGAATAAATGATCTTCAAGCTTTTCTGTAGAAAATTCTTAGACTATATTCAAATGTGTAGTTTGATAAACAGGGAAGGAAAGTGTTCAGTGAGGAAATTAAAGAGGAATATGTATGGCCTTTGATATAAGCAGCAGTGTTTATATATGTGTGTGTGTTAACATTTTTAAGCTGTTAAACAAGTGAAACAGATTGTAAGATACATAAAATATGTATTCTTTTATAGGTGTTTATTTTTTCCTACTGTTTTTAAATGCAGCCAAAATGCCTATAAGACCAGACCTACAGGTACGTAGTCCAAGATCAAAAGGAAGTATTTATTTCCCAAAATTGCTTTTTGTTTACTTATAGGTATTCAGTGCTGTATTTTTAGTAGTGACAAAGCTTGCATGTTTTATGAAATGGCCAAGAGGAATTTAAACAAAATGTTCTTTCAATTATTAAATAGATATGTTTACAAAGGCTATTTTAAGACTATAAAGTATTAAAGGTGCTGATTCTTTATAGATAGCTTTTATATAGAAAATAATTATGCACCGATTTACAATTTATGCTTGGATATTTTCATATCAAGTTTTTAAAATTGTTAAGATACTTGCATTTAGGTAAAGTATAAGTTTTAATAATCCACTTAACATATGCAATTCATCACCAAGTCTGATCATCAAGTAGTCAGGTTATGGTGTGAAAATTTCTTAATAATGTACTTTAGTAGCAGGCATGGCAGATTTTGTAAAGATTATAAGTATTATATATAGGTATTATTTAAGTTATATTGGTTGATATGATTTGTAAAAGGTGCTTTTCCTGTCTTTATGCATTTTCCTTTACTATTTGAACCACAGCAAGAGGTTGGCAGTCAGATATTCTGGGCTTTTGCCCATGATATTAAACATTAGTCTCTCAAGATTATTACTTTTTTCATTAACATATTTTTATTAAGTTTGATATAATGTTGACTTTAGCAATAAAATATATGAATGGACATATTAGTAAAATATTTTTTCTATATAAAGTTTTGTTATTATCAAAGAAAATCTTTAACTTAATTACTCCAATTTAATAGTGGGCATGTTTTTAAATAAAATTAGTTGATATTTTATGAGCTCATTTGCAAGTTTTCATATGAAAACAATTCTCAAATTACTATATTGCATAAGGTAACCAACTGTTTGATTCAGTGTGTATGCCATTATCTATATTTCCCTAACAGCTGGAAAAATGCATAGATTATGCTTTAAGAAAAAATGATTTCAAGCCTTTGAAAACACTTTTACAAATAGATGTTCATGAAGATGTGATGATTAAATGCAGCAAACAGTTTTTTCACAAGTTGGATGACCTTATATGCAGGGTAAATATATATTTTTCTTGAATGATTGTTACAATCATTAGAACTCTACTTTCTAGGAAGAAGTACTCCATTAAAAAAAAATGAATAGAAAGGTGTGAACAAGCTCACTTATACATAAATAAATGCTTACTTCACCACGTGGTTATTATTTTTTGTTTGTTTGAGTAGACTCAACACATTGGAGCATTGTTTCCCAAATAAAATATATGAAAAGCTGTGTTTACATAGGATTACAATTATTAGCTAAACTGTGAAAAAACTTACCTGTTTGAGGTATAAACAACTTGGTCTGATTTTTAAAACTGTCAGCAAATACTTGTTGCATAGACAATACTAGGTGCTGTCAAAACTAAAACAAAAAAAGTCATCTAAAACTTTGGATTTGATTTATCATATTTATGGCATTTTAATACATGTGAAAAGGTGATTATTGACAATCTCTCTCTCCCAGTATCTGAGATTTATTGTGAATATAAGAAATTGAATAAGTCTTGGATCCACTAGTTAAATACATAGAATTCTAGAATGCAAAGTAACTGATTCATTATATCATAGTTTAAGGTTTCTTGGATTTATACAGATCTTCATTTTTTGTCCTGAGTTTGTCTTTCACTGGCTGGGTGGCATTTGATAAGTTGTATTTTTGAACCACACTTTCATCTTTTGCAATATGGAGTTGCATTATAGCCGATTATAACGGCTACCTTTCAGTATTTGTGAGGATTGTAAGTATGTGTATAAAATTCTTCTCACAATGTCAGTTTCCTACTATTTTGGGTTTGCAAAGATTTAAATGTATACTTTCCATTTCAGGAACTTAATAAAAAGGATATACAAACTGTTTCAACCATTTTAGTTTCTGTTGGAAGATATGGCAAAAATATCAGTGTACTGGGGCAAGCTGGACTTCTAACTATGATAAAACAAGGACTAGTCCAAAAGATAAGTATGGAAAATGTAACATATTTATGTGAAAGAAATGTGATAAAAGTTATGCTTTCTGTTAAAATTAAAAATGGTTGAAAAATATATTTGTACTTTCAGGAACTTTATATAAAACTTTGAGAATAAAATATTTCTATAACTTGTAGCATATGCTACAAATATAAAAATCACAAGAAAACCACACACAGACTTCTTGACAATAGGAGTTTAAGCTCCATAATATCTTTATTTGCATTATCTTCTCTTTAACTCTTCTTATTTACTAACTTTTTTTTATATTGTTTGACTGTCTTCCATGCTAGAATGTAAGATATTGATATTTGTCTCTTTGGATCATTGCTATATAACTAGCACCTACAACAGAACCTGGCAGATAGTATGTACCCAAATATCTGAATTAATTGATTGAAGTAAAATACTAAAACTTCTCAAATAGTAACAGTACCAAAGTAATCTAAATTGTGATGATAATTTATTTTCATCTATTATAGTAAATACACCCAATTGTAAATTTGGAGAGAGAAATAAGAGTAACTTCACCTATTCCTATCTTAAACAATGGGAAAATATAGTGAGTTAAAAATAACAAAAACAAGGAAGATCTTTAAAAGCATAAGCTTATTTTGATACAGTACTTGAATTTTTATTTTGATGTCTGTCTAGTCCTAGGTTTACTGTATATAAAAATATATAAGTACATTCTAAAATTATTAAAATGGAATTTAAAGTAACTAATACATTCATTCCTTTTTTTACATGGTTTCCTGGTTTGAAAAATCCAAGGAGATTATTCGAAGTCAAGGAAATTCAGAAGATGAAGCTGTTATAAATATGATAGAAGACCTATTTGATTTTTTGATGGTAAAAAAATCACATTGATTAACTGATGTTATAAAGTATGTGTTTATTGAAAAAACAATTTATGTTCTCTATACCCCTGAGCCTAAATGTCAGTGGTTAGTGACTAGGTTAGTTTATATAACTAAATAGTTGCTAAACAGAAATTTAATAAGTATGCTGTGAGTTAAAATGAAGCCTGTTATTTCAGTGTATTTGTTAGTAATTTGTTTGTAATAGAAGATAATATGTTGTAAATTAAATATTATACTTTTTTCAGGTCATACATGATGTCAGTGATGAAGGTATGATAAACATTTTATTTCTATTGAAACAATACTGTTAAAGTTTTAGTATAATTTTGCAATTACAGTAGTATTGTCCTAATATTAAAAACTCATTATCTGATCAACAAACTTTTTCTGTAAAGTGCCAGATAGTAAACATTTTAGACTTTGTATTTCAAGAAAAAAAACCTCAGAATATTATGTAGATACTTGTATAAAAAGAAAGAAAAACAAATTTCCACAAATGTTTTATTGTTGCAATTGAAAATACAATAATAATTGAGTATAGTTTTTTGTCATACAGGTCAGCTAATGAGGGAAATTACATTCTTTTTAAGAGAATAACATTTGACTTAAAGTTCAAAGTTAGTGATCCCTGTTTTCAAACTTGTTTACAAATGTTCATTTGTTAATGCTTATCTGTAATGAGATTTTATGTGTCACATTATAAAATGTCTTTTCATTGCAGACAATGCCAGATAAGTCAGTGCATGAGCATTATTTTAATTGAATGCTCATCACATGAAAGGCATTAATAGAATTGTTAGGTTTTTAATATTTGCTTTTTAGAATGTCACTTCATTGCAGGGTAATCATTTTCAATTAAAAGTTATGTGGAAGCTCCTCAGTTGCACAATTTGAATCAATTTTGAAATTTGGAAATTTCCTTTGCACTTAAATCAGAGTCCAAAAACACTGCTGGACCTCTAGTTGGGTCATGAAAAAAATACATCTCCTGAAAATTTGTGTAGAAATGGAGATGTTGCTTCTTGTTTTAACTTCTGGGAAGTGTATAAAGCAGCATAGCGTTACTTGCCATCTAAGTCTTACTATCATCAAAATGACTTCACTGTAGTGTAACTTCATGATACAAGTGCTATTGTGTCTTGTAATTTTGGGCTCAGTTCATTTGGAAACACAATCAACTCTGCAGCCAGTGCTAATTACTGAAATAATTCAGTATTCGATAATGGTTTAGGACAGTTAAAAATTCATTCTTGACGTGTTGAATATCAAGTCACTCTAAAACTTTACCACTGCCATTGGACTGCTGTGTAGGGAAAGTCATAATATCCATCTTTTATTTCTGACAAAAATTCACATAACTGACCGTGGCTAAGTTCATGAGAGTGATTGAAATTCACCTTTGACTTTACGGGTTTAATAAAACGTGATAGATGCACATAATTTTTTATAGAGTGCCTACTGATGAGTAATATAGCCATGCAAAAACAGGCATTGAGTTGGGTTTTGTTCGTGGGCCATCATTTGCCAACGCTTGATCTAATGTAACAAAATTTTCGATAGTAAACTGAGAATCCAGAACAAATTACTACTCATACTTTCATTTGTGGCCAGCAAGTGTCTTGTGCCAAACAGTTAGATCTAAGTTATTTTATTTCTCTGTCATTTGAAGACTTAGCTAGAATTGGTCAGTGAGGCTGGTGAATTGTTTATAAATAAAGCTACTTGCTGCCTTCAAACCCAAAAAGCTTCAAATGATTTGCTGTTGATTTAAATACTAGTTAATGCTACATTTCATTGATTTTTTGCAATTAATATAGCAATCTAGTCTAAATTCTTAAGTTTTTAGGGAGAAAACAATTTGAAAGCAACGGCAATTATAAAGTGATATAACTGATTTTTAAAGTAAATCATTGTATCTTTTCATCTGAGTTTTTTTTTTCTTTCTGTGTAGTCACTTTGGAAAGTTATACATTTGCTGTTGCAATATTTCCATTGTTTAAAATTATTTTTTAAATTTGCATTATGAAACAACACGTGGCAATTCCTCTGAATATATTTTATACTGGTAAAGCCTCATCTTTTGAAAATGGGTTAAGGTAAAAGTGGCTCATGAGGTCAAGATATGTTGATGGTCTTTATGGGTATAAGAATTTTTGATGTATAACTAAAAATTGAGGCCAGCTTTGGTAAAAGCCTCAAAAAAAGTCTCCACTTTTGAACTATATTTTCTTCATCTAAAGAAAAAATATTTCCTAAGTGCCTGAAATAAACTGAACCTGGAATTATTCCCTTGGTAGTGTTAAGATCAGTCACATCTGTTGAGTAGTGTTTTTGTTGTTGGTTTTGTTTTGTTTTTACAAGGACAGATAGCCAGTTAGCGGCAGAACCAGGACTTATTTTTATTATTCTTGATGCCCAAGCAAGTGAGCCTTCTTCTGAACTGTACTAGTTATGTTCTTATCCTTAACTCTTATTATAAGAAAAGACTGCCTCTTAAAAAGTTTTGAAATGAACATTTATCAATAATTTAACACTTTCATTCAGGTAAAAAGCAAGTTGTGGAAAGTTTCGTTCCTCGCATTTGTGCCCTAGTTATTGACTCAAGAGTTAATATTTGTATTCAACAAGAGGTAAAGTCATTTGTTTGATTGTCTCTTAAAGCCTACAAATGAGAAAGTAAATAAAATTTGATAGCAATCATCAAATTGAAAGATTATTTTATCAAAGACTAATTACTTTTTATAGTCTTTAACAATCCATTGCTTGAAATAATGAATATATCTCCTAAATAGTTATTGAAAATTTATAACCATATGGCCTTATATATGCATATAGTGCAAATGAAAATGAATTGTACCATCCATATATTAGGGATTCTTAAGTATTTGAAGTCTAAAAATAATCTATATTCATGTTTGTATGTGTGTACATGTGTATAACCATAAGAACAAAAATTAATAAGATAACACTTTGGCTTCCTTAGATCTTATAATTGAATAATAATAAATATATCATGTTGCAAAAAGTACAAATGCTTTTTGTACAGGAGTCATGCTATATTCTACTTTTGGTAGCCTGTGGTTTATGTTGTTTTGTATTTACTGTTTTATACTTTATATTCTTTCTTCTACTCATCTCCACTCCTGGAATAAAACTTGGTGATTAAGAAAAAATTAGTTTGCATTCCCACCAGCAGTGTAGAAGCATTCCCTTCTCTCCACATCCTTGCCAGCATTTGTTGATTTTTGTTTTATTAATGATGGCCATTGTTTTTGGAATTAGGTGGTATCTCAATGTAATTTTGATCTGCATTTCTCTGATGATTAGTGAGACTGAGCACTTTTTCAAGTGTCTGTTGGCCGCCCATATTTCTTCTTTTGAGAAATGTCTCTTCATGTCTTTTATCCACTTTTTAATGGGGCTGTTTGTTTTTTTCCTTTCTGCATGTTTGAGTTCCTTGTAGATCCTGGATGTTAGTTAGGTCTTTGTCAGATACAGAGTTGGCAAATATATTTTTCCATTCTGTGATCTGTCTCCCCACTCTCTTGATGGTTTGTTTCTTTTGCTTTGCAGAAGCTTTTCAGTATGATGAGATCCTACTTGTCTATCTTATCATGGCATGGGCATCTGGGGTTTTGACCAGGAATTGGTCGCCTATTGTGATTCCCCCTAAGGTTGTCTTCTGTATTTTCTAAGATTCTTATAGCTTAGGTTTTATGTTTAGGTCTTTGATCCATTTATTTAGAGTCTATAATATTCAGTGAACTATCACAGAAGCGAAGAACTGAGTACCATATATTCTCACTCATAAGCGAACCCTGAACATTTACCATAACGTTATAAGAAAGGGATAGGCAGTAGCTGGAAACTGCCAGGGGAGGGGTGTTGGGAGCCGGCCACGGAGGCCCACTGAGCGTTAGGGATCAGGAAGGGCCATTGACCCTGAGACCACTAGGATGTGTTCAGGAGCTATTGACCCCATTTCCTCCCCCTTTCTCCTCAGCACTAACCAGATTAAGCTCCTGTGAGCTCAAAACATAGAAACTCTGAGATTGGGACGAACACAAGCTAACTTTAGAAGCTCATTGCTCCCATTCTTCCACAAACTGCAGTTTTGGCTTTCACACAACTTATAATTCAAACTCGTGTCACATCTAAGAGCCTTAGTATTGGTCACAGACTTCTGAGTCAGGATCTTAGGATTTATTGAAGGTGTAAATTGTAGAATATAGTTTTAGAAGACAGCCATTTTGTTGAAAGAATGCAGCTGGGTTACTTGCAGGTAGCCCACTGTGAACTTTGGACTGGGCCACATTCCAAACATTCTGGGATGGACCACTTTCGTTTGTAAATACTTAAGCTTCTATAGAATTGTTTAACTTGGCATAAATCAATCAGCTTAGGATGAAAAAGGTTTATAGAATATATCAGTTTAGGATTAAGTTATCCTTTGTTATGGGATTTTAAGATTATCATATGAAAAGGGTTTAAAGGCAATCATTGATTAAGTTTTCATGGATTAAGGTTTCTGGTGGGTGGGGAATGCCCCTCCCACATCTGACTTTGTGTATAAAAGACCCCTTTTAATTCCCAATAACACACATCGCTTCTGCACTAGACTGGAGTCCAGTCTCTTTCTTTCTCTCTCTTCTTCCCCCCAATCGCCAACACCATCTCCACCTTTGGGGTACCCTGAACCCGGCTGGAGCTGGTCTCCCACAGAGGGGGGAGCACATAATATCAATAAGGATACCTGATCTTAAAACAGGCAAAGTAGGGACCAAAGGGAGGCCTAACTTTACCCCTATGATGACCACTTGTATATCTAATCCTGAATTGTACCCATCTTTAAAATTTAAAAAAAATAAAAAAATAAAATAACCTAAATAAACAATTTTTTAAAAACTTAAAAAGAAGAAAAATTAGGCTTAAAGTTTATAAGCCTGGAGTATTTCTCTAAATACTTAATGTTTCACTGAATTTATTTTAATTTTTTTTTCTAGACTCTAAAGAAAATGAATGCTATGCTTGACAAAATGCCTCAAGATGCCAGGAAAATACTCTCTAACCAAGAGATGTCAATTCTCATGTAACAATTTGTACTCTATTATTTTTATTAGTTTTTCAAGTTATTAATTTTAAGAATTCTTTTTTGTTTTTTTCTTTTTATTTTATTTTTAAGAGCAATTTCAGATTCACAGACAAATTGATCTACAGAGATTTCTCATATGTCCCCTTGCCTCACATGCACAGCCTCCCCCATTATCACTACCCTGCACCAGAGTGATCCATTTGTTACAACTGATGAACCTACATTTAAAGAATGTTTTGTAAGACAATAAGGCAACCATGAGTTTTCATTAATAATTGAAAGTGCCAAGCTATTGTAGCTTTTTAATATAACTTAGCTTATGTAAATTTCTGTGGAAGTCAGTGATACTAGCCAGTTGTACATTTTACTGAAGTTTTTTCTCCCAAACATATGAACTTTACATTTAATTGATACTAGTTCAGTATATAATCTGTTATTTTAATTTACAGGTGTAGTATGGGAGAAAGGATTTTAGATGCAGGAGGTAAGTATGTCTTTTCAAAATTAGAAATTAGTTTTATATTTAAGAATAGTATGAAATATCCTAAATGATATTAGCATTCGGTGTTGTGACATTATAAACTGTTCATGTACAATCAAGTAATTTTTAATATTTTAATAAAAATAAGTGAAAAAGAAATATTGTCAGGACAGAAGTAATTTATCATGACAACAGGAGTTGATAAATATAATAGGTACCTGATGGTAGACTTATAACTAATAATTTAATTTTGCAGTGGATCTGATTACTTCTGCTAAGAAATTTTTCAAATGGTATTTTATGAAATTAGGAGGTCTACTATTTTGGAGATTGATAGAATTGTTTTTAAACAATGTGTTTACTAAAATAAGTTAAAATTTCAATCCTAAGCTTCCTGTGAACAAATTTTTGATGTAGTGATTTACATATAGAATAAACTACAATTTAAAGTGCTCCAAGATAACTATAAACATAATGTTATACTCAAGGAAAACAGATTCTTTGATTTATAGACTACTGTAAGGACTATTTTGCATTTTATAACTAATAATGAAATGGCAATTTCTGTGCATATTTAGAAGTTTCTTTTAAGTGTTTTTAAAAAATTTTATTTTTTCTCTTAGTAAGCATGTTTGTTATTTGAGCCGTGTTAATTTCTATGAAGAGATATTTCTAGTCCACATGAAGAAAATAGCATAAAATGAGCCGGGCTCGCTGGCTCAGCCTGTAATCCCACGCCTTTGGGAGGCTGAGGTGAGTGGATTGCCTGAGCCCGCGGGTTCGCGACCCGCCTGGGCAGGTGAGACCTCATCTCTACAATAAATCAAAAAATTAGCCGGGCATGGTATCACGCGCCTGTAATTCCGGCTACTCGAAAGGCTGAGGCGGAAGGATCGCCGGAGCCCAGCAGGTCGAGGCTGCCGGTGGCTGGGAGCAGCCCTGCACTCCAGTCTGGGCGACAGAGTGAGACTCCAACTCAAAAAAAAAAGAAAAAGGAAAATAGCATAAAATGAATAAATTACACTAATACTTATTTCTCTTGCTTATTCTAATATATGGACTTTTTAAAGTTAAATTTCATAACTTAAAATTGATTAACACTCTTTTTTATAGATTATGACTTACAGGTTGGCATTATAGAAGCTTTATGTAGAATGACCACAGAAAAACAAAGACAAGAACTGGCATATCAGTGGTTTTCAATGGGTTTTATTGCAAATGCATTTAAAGAAATTAAGGACTCTGAATTTGAAACAGTAAGTAGCATAAAAATAGAAATTAGTGAACTTTGGAAAAAATTATAATGATTTTTAAAAGTCTTTTTCTTTTTAATAGGATTGCAGGATATTTCTCAACCTTGTAAATGGCATGCTTGGAGACAAAAGAAGGTAAATTTAATGCACTGTATACCATTTATTGATAAAGAAATAGAGTTCAGGAGAGAGCACCCAGTGTTGAATCTTTATAAATTTAATTTTATTTGTTCTGTTATGTTGGAATGCATAGATATTTAATTTTAAATAGTAGCTCATCATAACATTTAGTAAATCACTGGTAGTCTGAAATTATCCTTTACTAGCCTTGTTTTGCTTTGTGGATTGTGAATTTCTTTATATAATTATTTTTCTAACCATTCTTTTTATAAATTTCAGTGTTAGCACTAGTAGTTTTGATTAGCATGCTAACCTGCCAACCTACTTCTTAGCGGGAAAGGTGCATTTCTGTTTAATTCATATTAATTAATAACTTTGTCCAAAATTGGTTTACTGTATTTCCAAGTGGCATAGTCATTATTGTTTAGTGTTTGAGGCATATTAAAAATTTAGACATCTATATTACTTTACCTGCCTCCTTCACCCACAAGCTAGAATGAAAATATATGGCAAACAAATCATCTTCCTTTATAATTAACATGCCGTTAAGTAGGATCTTTCTGAAGTTATTTAACTTCAGAGATGGGCATGAAAGTATATGTAATGTAAATTTTTATCAATTTTTTAATAATGACAGAACAACAAACTATTTGCAATGCCTGGCACGTTATAGATGTTCAAGATACATATAATGGATGAATGAGTTCACATTTACTTTACTAACTAAGGACATGAGAAATAGGGTAAGCGTTAAGTGCAAGGAGTCATATTGCCTGAATTTGAATCATAGGTTCCTCTCTTCCTGCCCTAACATCAGGCAAATTATTTAACCTTACTTGCCTCAGTTTCCTTAGCTGTTATATAAGAATACTAATAATACTACCTCTTTTTTTTTTTTTTTTTTGAGTCAGAGTTTTGCTCTGTTGCCCAGGCTGGAATGCAGTGGCACTCTCACGGCCACCACAGCCTCGATCTGCTGGGCTCAGGCAATCCTTTCACCTCAGCCTTCCAAGTAGCTAGAACTATAGGCATGCACCACCATGCCCAACTAATTTTTTTATTTATTTTAGAGATGAGGTCTCGCCATGCTGCTTAGGCTGATCTCAAACCTGTGGGCTCAGGCAATCCTCTCACCTCCGCCTCCCAAAGTGCTGGTGTTGTAGGCATTAGCCACCGTGCCCGGCTACCTTCATATGTTTGCTGTGAAGACTAAATGAGATAGTATGCTAAATGTTATAAAATAGTATCTGATTATGAATTTATTTTATTGGCAGAATTATTCACTTACATTCTTTTTTCATCTGAGTCTTATGGAAATATCAATTATATTAATATAAACTAAATTAGGAAACTCTGCTCATTTTTGAAACAACACACACACACAAAATTTGATACAGTCACTTTAGTCAAAATGGTAGGTTGAATAGTATCCTCAAAGTAATATACTTTGCATAAGCAAATTTCTATTAAACACATATTTTTAAAGTATTAAAGAGGGAATTATGATTTTATTTAAATATTATGACCACTGCCTGATTTACTTTTGATTCTAGGTATGACTTCTATTGCTGGACTAGATTATGCTGTGAAAGCTTATTTTTTTCCTTAAACTCAAACTACTGTTTATTTCAGGGTCTTTACATTTCCTTGTTTGTCAGCATTTCTTGATAAATATGAGGTAAGTTTTAAATTTAACGTGTTTTGAGTTATTGGATGAATTTTGATGCAGGAGTCAAGTGAATTTTGAATTATGAGTTAATGGAGAAGAACATTAAAAATAGTACAGCCAGGCTCGGTGGCTCAGCCTGTAATCCCGCGCCTTTGGCACGCTGAGATGAGTGGATTGCCTGAGCCCATGGGTTTGAGACCCGCCTGGGCAGGTGAGACCTCATCTCTACAATAAATCAAAAAATTAGCCGGGCATGGCAGCGCATGCCTGTAGTTCCAGCTACTTGGAAGGCTGAGACGGAAGGATCGCCAGAGCCCAGCAGGTCAAGGCTGCGGTGGCCGGGAGTGGCCACTGCACTCCAGTCTGGGCAACAGTGAGACTCCAACTCAAAAAAAAAAAATAGTCATAATTAGATTACAATTAATACTGGTTTAGTATTTTGACAGTGACACCAGGAGATATTTTATGAAACAGCATATCAGTAATCAAGAATAACTGAAATATAAAGGTTGTAATAGTCCAAATTTTCTACTGTTTCCTTAATCAAGACTATTACTGATTTATCATTTATGAATATATTCAAACTAATATTTTCAACCTCTCTTAGCACTTGGAATATTTGTGATTTCTTGGAGCTAGCCAGTTTTTTTGGTAAAATATTAAAAGTGACATTTCATTTTATTGTTTCTAAATTATCTAAATGTTATATCTCTCTCTTCTGTCACCTTTCAGGTATACATATTTTCTTTTTAAAAACCTTTAGCCATGAATATAACATGATCAGAATTTTGTTTTCATTTCTGAAAACATTGTATGTACTAGTTTTATACGCTTGTTTTATTAGTTACAAATGCCATCAGATGAAAAACTTGAGGAATTTTGGATTGATTTTAATCTTGGGAGCCATACTCTGTCTTTCTACGCTGCTGGAGATAATGATGTAAGCCTTATACTCTCAGTATTATTCTGTATGTATAAAATTTTAAATTAACTTCAAGAATATGAATTTCTTTGTAGATTTATTTTTCTAGCCATTCTTTTCATAAATTTCAGTGTTAGCCCTAGTAGTTTTGATTAGCATGATAAACTACCAACCTATTTAGAAATGAAAATTATTTGATGTTTTATTATAACAAAAATAATACCATTTTAACACTATTTTTAATATAAGCTTTTATAAAGTAAATCACATGCTAACTATTAACAGGTAAAATTGTATATTGACATGAATGAAGTGAATTGACTTTTGAAAAGACAACAGTTACTCAAATACAGATATTGACAGGTGGTATTATTCATTCACAAAATCTTTTATTTGAAAATAGTGAGGGCTTAATTCTTATATTAGCATTTGAGAGTGAATTTTAGTTCTTTTTTTTCTATGCTTTATCGTAGCTTTGCTTAGTCATCATATTTTCTAGTGGTTTCTTTTTTACCTGAGGAAAATTCTTGAGCCATTGTTTAGTAATTGCTACCATTTCATATTTTGTATATGCACATATATCTAGTTGAAATTGTATAATCACTCCGACAAAATATGAGTAAGAGGTGATTAACATTTATTAATCTGATTGTAGCTGGTGATACTGTAATAAGACTTTAGTTTTTTTAGTCAATTCTCATAGAATTCTGCTTTTTGTTCCAGGTATATTCTTTATGGGTGAACATTAACTGAATCTTTTAGGATTTCCACATTTCTTTATTGTTTTTTATTTTAGAGTACCTTCTTAAAATGCTTAATGAATATGAGTTCCAGTGACTAGCACTGCTTCTCAGGAGCATTAACAGTTTTCATTTGTGCATTTCTCCTGCAGGGTTTGTAACAATTTTCTTTCAGAAACTAGAATTTCATTTTGGAAGAGAATAGTATGAATTGTTAAATAGCAGTAACTGTTATAAAGGAACTAAAACAAGACAATGTGCCTTCATTCAGCTTGGTCTCATGAATGATTTAGACAAGAAAATAAGCAATTAGAGGATGGCATTATACCTGATAGGGAAAGTATAAAATGCATGTATTAGTGTTAAATGTCTATTATATTCCAGACACTGATCAAGATGCTAGGGAATTCTTCTTTCCAAAAATATACTTTTTAGAATATTCTCTCCCCTGAATCTCTATAGCAGTAGTATGTTTTTATTATATTCTTTCTTGCTGTCATTGAAAGCCATTCTTCACATAGCTACTCCTTAAGCCCTTCTTCTATCTCTTGGACATGGTATACAAGGCATTTTATGGCCTGGCATCTGCCTGTTTCCCTGATACTTTACACATCCTCTATAATTACTGTGCTCCAGCCACATTTATTTTTTTCTGTTCCTCTAACACAGGTAATGCCCATGTCAGGTCTTTGTATTTCTTGGTTCTTCTGCCTAGAACACTTCCTCTAGATCCTTCGTCTTAGTTCCTTCCCATTTAGATTTTAGCATAAATGTTACCTTCTTATAGTGATATTCTCTGGTAACTCAGTATAAAGTAGCCTCACAGCCACATTATATCACATTGTCTTGTTTCATTTCCTTCCTAGTAGTCATTGCTATTTAAAAGTCATTTTATTTTTATTTATAGTTTGTTGTCTATTATCCTGCTTAGAGTATAATAAGATAAAGAGATCAGGGACCTGCTTCTTTTTGTTTATAGCTTTTCAAAGGCTCATATTTGTTGAAAGAATGAATAAATAGAATATTGAAAGAAGTGAAAGATATATAGAACACATAGGGGATTGGGAAACAAACAGGCAGTGTGGAGCCAAAGAAGGATTAATAAGTAAGAGATAACATTAATTCAATGAATAATTATTGAGAATTTAACTATGTGTCAGATATGCGCTACGCACTGGGAACACATTTGTGTGAAAGATCTCCCAGTTGGGGGAATGGAGTAAAACGTAGTGAGGAGAATGGATTTTAAAGGGACAAAACCAGAGGCAGTTAGGAGGTTTTTGCAATAATCTATGTGAGAAATGGTGGCATGGTTTTGGGAAGTGACAATGGGTATGGATGGAAATGGATGGAAAAACTTGAGAGAAGGTAGAACTGAGCAAACTTAGTGATCTCTTTATAGTTAAAATACAAATGAAAGATTACTAAAACTTGGATAACTAGATGCTATCACAGGAGGATAAGTTTAATAGGGGAAGGATAATGAGTTCAGCTCTGAATGTTTTGATTTGGAGATGCTTGTAGTAGATTCAGTGAAGATACAGTGGGCAGTTGGATATGTTGGTCTAAAGCCCAGGTGAAACAAATGAGTTGTAAGTAGAAATATAGAAGCTGTCTATATGTGGATGATACATAAAACCATGGGATTTAACGAGTGCATTCATGAAAGAACTCTGTAAAACACAAATTTCTACTGAGTAGGTTAAAAAAAAAAAAAAAAAAAGACTATAGCTAGAGGACTGCTTGAAGAATCAGCCAGGTGGGAACAAATTAAAAGGGAATATATCATGGAAGATGAAAGAAAGGAGTTTTATTTATAAGAGGAAATAATCAACACTGTCAGATACTCCTGGCCAGGGGTAAATAAAATAAAAACATAGTGACTCATGAAGGAGCAGTTTTACTTAAGTGATGAGAATTTAGGAATTCCTAGAAACTTGAAATACTTGTTGAAGTAAACATCAAGTTGACAGAAAGAGAGCATAGTAGTAGCTACAGTGGAGATGTGGATTCTAGGAAAGGATTTTGTTGAGTATTTTATTTTAAGGATAAGAACTTTTAAAAATTGATATTGAGGGGCAAATAGAAGAGATTGAAGAAAAAAATTGAGGTCAAGAGGAAGAAGTGGGAGGGATGATGGAGGGAAAGTGGGAGGCAAAAATGGAACAGGATTACTACTGTGGCAGAGAGGGGCTAAAAAACAGCTAAAATTATTCTTTTTAAAAATCAACCTGCAAGCTCCAAACTTGCTAGACATGGGACGTTAGACAACCGAATAGCCACAAGCTGATTTCCTGTAAGTACAAGATAGTAATCAATTCACAACCGTACCATCCCCCCATCCTCTCTTTGTGAAATTATCAGTTTACAACCCCTGCTTGTCATGTGTATCCTGGAAACAATTTGTTCTTTGAAAATCTGGTTTTGCTAAATACAAGTTTGCAAATTCCAAAGAAAAATGTATAGCCATACAACCCGACCCCCTCCCTTACCTAAACTAATATATAAAACCCTTCTCCTTTTTCTCTGGGTTGCTCAGCCTTGGAGCATTAGCCCACTGAGTAGCGCCAGCACTAGTAAAATGCTGCTTCCTAAGATAGCCTCAGTGTCACAGTCTCTCTGTTTTCCCGCAACACTACAACATATTGATACCTGTTGAAGCTGGGTAAGGCCATATTTTGGGTTTGTTAAACTATAATTTCTACTTTTAAATATGTTTGAAAATGTCCAAAATCAACATTTTTAGATGTTCGCATTCATAAATTCATCCAGTTCTAAGTACCTACTCCCCACGCTCCCAGCTCTGTCCTGTACTTCTTTCTTTCCCTGTCTAGTCCAGAACCTATGATCAAACAACTTGACCACTTTTGTTACTGTGTTCAAGGCTCTTAACCTTCCATCCCTTGCTTGATTTTTCCACACTTATATCTTGGTTTTTCCACACTTATATCTGGAATTGCATAGCACTGCTGGACAAAATTAAACTAGTACTATTACAGGTTCAGATATTAAGACATATTTTAGTCACTTTAATAAATATATAGTTATATATATATATTTAAAAGGGCAGTGAACCAACTGCCTTGATATACAAGGAAGAGTTACTTTAAAGTTGGTAGATGATAATCATTGGGAGCAGAATATGGTAGCTGGCATGTTCCACAAAGGAGCAAGTTTTTTTACACACAGAGAAATATGAGACTGCTCAAAGCCTTGGGGAAAGATGCAGATACCAGTTCTTTCCTCCTGACACTGAGGCTTTAAGGTAAGAGAGAATTAGCACCTTAACTGGGTTATAAAGGTAGTGATGCCCTTGGGGGTGGTAACTGGTTTCAGGTAAGGTAAAGAAGTAGAGGGAATTAGTGAAGAGAATAAAGATTTAGAAGAATTTCTATAGAATGAGTTGCCCTTAAATAAGGAAATAATTGGATTTATTTTTCTCACAAGATTACTGGAAGATTTTAGGATCTCACTTTTTAGGAATGGTGTCTAATTTTTACTATAACTGTGCATTCATTATTTTCTTCGGTTATACAAATTTTCAGTGAAAATATTTGGAAGGGACAAATACTTTAGGTTACTATTCATGTGTATTCAATGTTTGAATGAAAGGACAATCAATTAATGAGTATTGCGTTACAGGACTTGGAATAGATAGTAGGAGTGGGAACTGAGGTGACTATGACTTCACAAAATATTGTAAAGGAAAAAAAGGATTTGGTAACATTTTTTAAAAGGATGTCGTCTAATAAATATTAGTGTATAGTCATTTTTTGTTAAGAATAAGAAACTATCAATACCATAATTTCCTTAATGTGTATAAATAATTAATTGATGGAGCAAGAAAAGTGTTATATAAACTGGTTACTTAATGATATTTAGTAAAAATAAATTACCTTCATAATTTGTATAACCTAAAAATTGGTGTTTAAAGAAGTTTTTAATCAGGAGTAAATTATTATTTATTTATGGCCAAAACCTGTTTTTAAATTTAAGGATCATCAGTGGGAAGCAGTCACTGTGCCAGAGGAAAAAGTAAAAATATACAGCATTGAAGGTATTAAACTTGTTTTATGTTGTATTAAACGTGTCTGTTCTTGATTCTTACCATATTGAATAGAATTTTCACCTTCTCTGGGATAACAAAATTGAGTAGCACAAACAAAATCAACATTTTTAGTTGTTCACATTCATAAATTCCTCCAGTTCCTGAGTACCTACTCCCCACACTCCCAGCTCTGTCCTGTACTTATTTCTTTCCCTATCTAGTCCACAACCTATAATCAAACAACTTGACCACTTATGTCACTGTGTTCAAGGCTCTTGACCTTCCATCCCTTTCTTGATTAAACCTGAACATCTGGTTTTTCCACACTTATAGCTGGAATTGCATAACACTGCTGGACAAAATTAAACTAGTAGTATTACAGATTCAGATATTAAGACATATTTTAGTCATTTTAATAAATATATAGTAATATCTCATTATGGTTTTTATTTGCATTTTCCTAATTACCAGTGATATTGAGCATTTTTCATACGCTTATTGGCCATTAATATATCTTCCTTTATAAAGTATGTGTTTACATTTTTATTGGACTGTATAGTTCTTACACATTCTGGATACCAATCCTTTGACAGATATATGTATGTTCCAGTCTGCATCTTATCTTGCTTGTTCATTTTCTTAAAGGTGTCTGGTAAACAGAAATTTTAAAATTTGAAATACCCGTATTCAATTTTTTAATAGTTATTACTTTCTGTGACCCAGGAAATTTTTTCTTTCCCCTATGTCACAAAGATGTTCTCTTTTCTTTTAATACATATTTTATGGTTTTAGTTTTCATTTTTAGAATTGTGTTCTATCTCAAATTAATATTTAGTTAAGATGTGATGTAGAGATTGGAGGTTTATTTCTCATATGGATATGCAGTTATTACAGGATCATTTACTGAAAAGGCTTTTCTTTTCCCCTGGATTTTTGTTGTTGTTGTTCCTTTATTGAAAGTCATGTGACTGTAAAAATAGTTCTATTTTTTGGTCCTCTGATCTGTTCCATTGATCTATTTATCATTCTTTTGTTAGTACCACACTGTTTTGATTATTGTAGATTTGTGGGCAGCTTTGAAGTTAGCTAATATAAGTCTTACCATGTGGTAGATTTTTTTTTAAAAAGATTGTTTTGAAATTCTAGGCCTTATGAACTATCATACAAATGTTTATCAATTGCCTGCTGGAATTATGACTGAGATTATAGATTAATATGAAAAGAAATAACACATTAGCAGTAGTAACTATTTCATTCCATAAACTGAAGTGGTATATCTCTTCATCTATTTAGGTATTTGACTTTTCTTAATGATATTTTGTAGTTTTTGTTGTATAAGTCTTGGACATCCTTTGATGAATTTATTCCCAAATATTTAGTCTTGCCTTATATGATTGTGAGTAGAATCAATCTTTAATTTTATATCTAAATATCTTCTGATATATACAGATACAGTTGGTTTTTGCATATATGCTTTGTATCCTACACACTTGCCAAATATGTTGTTTAGTTCTAGTAGTTACGGTGTGAATTCCTGAGGATATTCTAGGCAGTCACTTATGGGATCTGCAAATAGAGATATAATTTTACTTTATCCCTTATGATCCATATCCCCTCCCTCCCTTTATTCTTTTCTTTATTTTCTTTCTTTCTTTTTTTTTTTGCTTTATTGTAATGGGTAGACCCTCCAGTACGATATTGAATAAAGGTAGTAGAAGTGAACATTTTTGCCTACTTCCTAATCTGTAAATTCTTGGCTCTGTTAATTCAGGAAAGAGCATTCAATATTTTACCATTAAGCATGATGTTATCTGAAAGTTTTTTGTGCATAATCAGGATGAGGAAATTGATGAGTCTTCATGTTTATATTTGCATATTAAATCATCATGGCAATCAAGTTAAACATATCATCCCCAAAAGTTCTTTGTGTTCCATCCATCCCTTCTCCTACTGTACCCTCAGGCAACTACTGATTTTTTTTTTTTTGTGGATACATTTACATTTTCTAGAGTTCATATATGCAGAATAATATAGTATGCAGCAATTTTTGTCAGACTATTTTCAGAATACTTTTTTTAAAAAGACTTAACCAAATGGTTCTTCAACCAGAGGGAATTTCTTCTTTCTTCTTCTTAGGCAGAGAGGGTGACAGACTGATCATTTAAATCCAATCATGGATACTGCTTCATGTTTGGTTCTAGTTTTAGATTTACTTTTTGTCTTATTTACCTCTATTTCTCAGGTGTGGTCATCCCAATCTGTTGACTATGAGCCTGTTTGGTTTCTGTCTTCTGAAACTGAGGTACTGTGAGAGATACAGTTTGCCTTTTTAGAGGATTCCAGCCCACCTCTCTGTTCTCTCACTCCACTCAGTTCAAAATCTGGCAAGTGTTTTGAAGGGTGCACTGAGTATATGCCTGAGGATGGCATTTGTGTCAGGCAGTACTTTGCTTCTTCGCCTATTAGACTATTGAAGAGTTAACTCTGCCTTTTAGCAGTTTAGGTCTAGCTCCTTGTGCTACCCCATAATGAAGAGCTTTAAAGCTTCTAAGTTTGCTGTTTGTTACCCCAGGCACACTATTGATCACTAAATGCTTGCCTGTTTGTCTTTGCTCCAACAAAGGTTCTCTTCCTAAGCCTACAACTAGAATTAGCAAATGTCACTAGGGAAACAAAAGCCAGAGTTAATTAACTACAGCTCTCTGACACCTTTAAACATACAATTTTAAAAGTCTTCTTATTTTGTTTTTAAGCAGGATATTTGTTCGCCACAATATACTACATTTTATCCAAAAATGGAAATTTCCAACTTTGGACTCTCTTTCATTGCTTCTTGTCAGTCTTCCATGTCCATAGTCAGCTTTCCAGTTCTCTAACAGCAGCTATTTAAATTTTTATAGCCATCCTTAAGTGCCTTGCTTGTTTTACTTTTGTAATATGATATGATAATTTGGAAAAACATGAATGATTTTTCAGGTAAAAATGCCTATAAATTTTGGCCCCTCAGACTCTCCACCTACAAACATCTTTGCATCTATGTCTTTCATTTCTGTAAAAGGAAGAGATGTATCTACCCTTGTTGAAGGATAATTTCTATGAGTTCTCCATGCCCATTCTCCAGGTCTTTGTTCCATCAGTTCATATTTCTTATATCTTCTTCTTATCTCTCAGTAGCTCATTTCTCTCTCAAATGTCCACATCATAAAACAAAAAAACCTATCTGGATACTTATATCTTTCTTAAGCTGTCTTTTTTTTTACATTCATAGCCAATTTTGAAATAGTTTTTATTAACTTTTTCCTTTCCTTTTGAATAGTTTTTATTAACTTTTTCCTTCTCCTTCTATTTTTTCTTGTTTATGTTATAAAATCCTGATATGTTGCTATCCATAAATATTTGGATTTTATAGCAAGCAACACAACAGAACGTTTTGTTGTCTTAGTAATATTGCCAACTAATTAAAAAGAAAAACAAGCCATTATATAGTGCAGGCAGTCAGAACATATATCAGGAATTTTAACAAGCAATCAATAAAATTTAACAAATATTAAATTTTATGTATATATTCACCAATATATATAGACAAATTTTGTGCAAATAGGCACAAAGCATTCAGCAAAATTGTAATAATTCTAGTACTGTGTGCATGCAAGCAGTGAAAGCAAAGATTGCTTTTAAAAGAGGTACACAGTAAGCCACAGGAAAAAATTCAAATGCGCATCATAGGAATAAAACAATCATCAAAAATATACGCAAGGATTATAAATATTTTAATTGTCATCAAAACATGAATATTATTGTCTTTAAAGCCACCTAAATGTTTTATCTCTGAAACCTGACAACTTTTTACTGTTGAACTTACATGACTTAAAAAAAAAAAACTAGCACTCTTTGAGTCTGAAACTGTGTTACATGACCTTCAAGCAATTAATAATTCTTAGTACCTTCAGAGGGCATTACTATGGAAATTTCATGACCATATTCAAGGTTGGGACATAAAAAAATCTGGAATTATTTTTTGGAGAGTGGGCCCCTTATAGCACAAGTTTTCCCTGCTAGTGTTCTAGGAATGCATCTGTACCAGTGTACCAGCTAGTGTTGTTGTGAGAGGCTGTGTTGACTTCAGTGGTTTTTTTTTGGCGAATCTTTCAATGTGTTTGCCCATTTCATGATGGGTGATTTATGAGTGTAGCTGCCCACACCATGCTAAGTATTCAGCAGTTTTTGACCAAAAACTACATGATCTCTGTGCCCCACCCTCCCTATTCACCCAATCTCACCCCAAGCAACTTTTGTTTCTCAGGATGAGAAAAGTTCTCAAAGGGAAATGTTTTGTCAGTGTGAAAGAGGTGAAACAAAAAAATGCCAGAAGCACTAAAAGGAATCAAAATTAACGAATTCAGAGACTGTTTTTGAGTAGTGGAAAAAGCGTCTCAATAGGTGTATTGCATCAAATGGAGAGTACTTTGAAAGTGACTGAAGTTTAAACATTCAAGAATAAATACACAATTATTTATAGGTAATTTCTGGCTTTTTGGAAATCTGCCTTGTACTTTCAAAGCAAACAAAACATTTTCTCTTGGGCAAGCTTCATAAGAATCAGAAAATTTGTCCCTTATGGCAGATCATGGAGTGGCCTGTTGAGCTTTTACAGATGTATAGATAAATTTCTCTATTTTGTGTAGTCCTTTCTCAGTGTGTGTTTCTTTTGCCCAAAAGTATACACTAGGGGCAGATATGGAGACTTCTCTGCTAGAGATAGGACAGGAGCATGGTGGTCCTCGTCTATAATACAGGCACATTAATTAGGTGCCAGATAATTTTTTGCTAAGTTTTTGGGAAGAAACAGTGTGAATACCTCTCATAAATTAGCACATTTTCTTCCCCCTGGATTGGTAAGTTCATTGAGGCTAAGGACTAGATCCTTTTCACCTCACAATTTTCTGATGCTTAATTTTTTATCAAATGTTATTGTTTACTATCAACGTATTTATAAAAACTTTGAATTTAAGAGAAATTTTTAATAGATGCTTATGCCTAGAAATATGGTAATTATATGGAATTAAAGTTACTGTTTTTGTCTGCCTTTTTAAAATTAAGATAACAGTTTTCTCAAATAGGGTTAGGAATATTTGATTAAGAATCTGTCAGGGTCTAGAACCTATTCGAGGTTCTATCTTATTAGTTATGGCATCATCCAGTAATTTGTAGATCAGAACACTGAGACTATGAAAAGTAAATTGATTTTATTTGTTCACATAGGTAATTAGAGCCAGCATTGGTTAATTTAAACACTGCTTAGTTCTAAAAGCTTGAATTTTGATTCAATTAATTTTAATTACTATACTGCATGCTTTTTTTTAACTTACAGTATACTTAGAGTAGTATCATAGAAGTTGATGTAAACTAATCAGTGTTATTTGTGAACAGTGAAAGAATCAAAGAAGCTACTGACCATAATTCTGAAAAATATATTTAAAGTTAATAAAAAAGAAGGGAAAGAATTGCTTTTGTATTTTGATGCATCGTTTGAAATCACTAATGTAACTCAAAAACTTTTTGGTGCGAATAAATATAGGGTAAGTTTTTAAAATCTTTTAAATATTTACTATTTTCATAATTCTGGAAGCAGTTTGGGGCTATAAGTTTTACTGCTTTTTTTTTCCATTCTAGAAATCTTAAAATGACATATAGATTTTAGTTAAGTTTGTACTGTGAAATGGTTACCAGCTTATGAGCTTTATCCTTTGAGATACCTACTAGAAAGTATCTCAGATGACAAAATTAGCACTAGCTCCTCAAAAGGTTTAGCAAATTCCTACAGGTGTTTAAAAAGCAAAATGAAACAAAGCACTGTTTTTAAGATATTAAACGTGTGAAAATTACACAAAGATACCTCAGAATAAGTAAATAATGGCATAGGGAAAATCATTTATAGAAATTGAAGAAATAGAATGCTCATTAAGAGGTTTGAAGGTAAAGCATAATTGTGGAGATGGGGCTTGAAATGACTTTTGAAGTGGAAGAATAAGATGTAAATAAAATACTTTCCAGAATTGTGGAAGACATTATGAGCCAGATATTGTTTAATTGATCATCTAAGGTGACAAGTTGTGGGATTTTTTTTTTTTTTGAGATACTCTATTGACAGACAAGTTTGGATAGTGCAAAAGATTTATGTTAAACATTATTAGAGATTATATTTGGAGAAACCCTTATAGAGGGACCACAATGACAAGCTAAAGATACTGTGGTAGGTGGGGAATAATGAAGTATTCTGAGAAGGTATTTATATACGCAAAGTAATGATTTGGGATAATTTGACAGTTTTGAGGTAAAACAGGTAGAAAATAGTGACATTAAATGGAAATAAAATGACATCTGAAAAAAATGAAAAGAAAATGACATCACTTTGAACTAATTTAATTTTAGGAATCTACTAGAAAACAAGGTATTTCAGTTGCCAAAACATCTGTGCATATACTTTTTGATGCAAATGGATCACAGGTATTTCTCTGTCTTACTTGGTTTTTATCATTGGGCTACGTTAAACTATAAATAATAAAGTTGATATTGGTGGGTGAATATATAGAAAACAAATAATCTTGTATAAACTGTGCTTAATGAAAAATATATGATTTTTACACATGTTATTAATGATAATTACCTTTAATATAGCGAGCAGAATTAATAAATATCTGTTTGGTTACTTCAAAAATTAGCAGTATAAGTCCTTCCAATAATACTGAAGCCTGTTTTATGTCTATTAACATTTGAAAAAGTGCATACTTTTTGGGTCACTTTGTAAAAGTTATAACAGTACATGGATAGAAGGAGGAAAGAATTGACCTTTGTAAATGTGAAATACATAGGAGTTTTTTAAGACCTCCAGTGATTTTTGAGAACTCCCTGTAGTTTGCAGTTTAAAATACTTTTTTTTATACTTCCCGACAGATTCTAGTGCCAGAAAGTCAAATTTCAACAGTTGAAGAAGAACTCGTTTGTTTAAAAGAAAAATCTAACCCCCAAAAGGAATTTGCTAAGCCTTCAAAATATATCAAAAATAGTAATCAAGGGGACAACAAAAATAGTCAACTTGAGGTAAATATGGTGTCAAAATAGTTGTTTATAAAACAACCACAAATCAAATCATTGCTATAGATCAATACAGAAAAAAGCATCTGAGATATATATATTGACCTTGATCAATCACTTTTCAGAGTTTTTTCCCCTACCTTTTACAAATGCAAACAAAAGATAGTGTCTTAGTGATTGTGTGTATGTATAAGGGGACTGGGACAAAGTATACTATTCTTTACACTCATAAATTACAATTAGAGATACATAAGAGAACCTGTTCCCTGCATTTATGTTTTCTGTCTTTGCATTTGGCTATAATGTATAATCAAAATTTATAATCTGTTTATTTGCATGAGGAAAGAAAAAATAGTATTAGATTCTTATTCCTCTACCTCCTCCATTGAAGGACCTCCTCTGGGTCACATCCCATAGAATCATTTCTCAGTGTTTTTATTTTTTTCCATATGTTGCTGTGACACTTGACATAGTTGACATCCCTCTTTCTTAAGGTTGTCTTCTTCGTCTTCTAATTCGCATCCTAATTTCTCTTCCTTCTGTTAATACATCAGGCATACTTTCTCTCCTCACTTCCTTATATGTTTGCTCTAAGCCCAAAAGCTTGATACCCAGTCTTCTGAATGTCTTGTTGCCTTCTTCCTTAAAGAGCGTCTTTCATGTGCATAATTTGAGCTCTGAAAATGTATCAGACTTCTCTTCAAAGTTCTACAGCAGCATCTCTACTTACTATTCTAATATTTCTTTTTTGTCTGACTCTTCAAGCTCTTTCCTGAAGTCTAAGCTCAAACAGATCTTTTGCCTCAAATCTGCATCTGTCTCCATATTCCAGTAATATTATCATTATTTTTTCTGGCAATATCTTTGATTCCAGCCTTTTCTTCCCTCATATCTAGAACCAAGGTGCTTGCGATTATTTTTTCATAGTATCTCTCACATCCTTTCTTTTTTTATTTCTTTTACCATCATTCATCTCACCACAGTTAAGAGAATACGGTAGCCTCCTCATTGGACTTTGACACCATTGCTTCATTTTGTGAGCTACTCCATGTAGTATACCAGAGATTTTTCTTAAATATCAGTATCCTGATAGCATTCTGTTGCTCAAAAATCTTTGTTATTTCTGTGCTCATCTCACTGACTCAACAAATTTCAACTCAGTTCTGAGACTTTCTACAATTAATTTAACCCTTTCTTTTAAAACTGCAGTATATACTCTCCCC